AAAAAAAAAAAAAAAAAAAAAAAAAAAAAACCAATGGAGGGCCAGCCAAGTGGCGTGTTGGTTAAGAGTTGGCTTGGGACGCCAGCTCTGAGCAGCAGGGCCCAGGTTCAGATCCCACATGAGGGCCAATGACGCTGCACCCTCTACAGCTAAGATGATGAACAACAGCTCAACCTGGAGCTAGGCTGCCGTGAGTTGCAGGAGATGGCATAGGCTGCAGTGAAGCTGCAGTGAAGTTGCAGTGGGCTGCCATAAGCTACTGTGAGCTTACGGCATGAGCTGCCGGCAGCCAGCATGAGCTGCCAAGAGCCGCCGTGAATGACTATCCAGTGGCCGGTGACCGATCTGCCTCACCTGGGAAGAGTACAATGACAATACCAACATGGGCCAGTGAAGCGATGTCCTCCACAATTAGACTGAAGAACAAAAGGACAGCAACTTGTCTGTTCCCCTTCCCTGATTCCCCAACACTGTTCCCCTCCCCCAATTCCCCAATTAAAAAAAATTTTTAATAAAAAAAGTTTAAAAACCTATGGAACAGAAAGAAGGGGAAAAAAGTCATATGATCATTCTCTAAATAAGTGAGTGCTTAATTTGTGACAAAAGTGTCACTTCAGAGCACTGGGGAAAGGAAGTTTTTTCCATTAATGGTGAAGGGTAAGCATATATCATGGAGAAAAAATAAACTTGATCCAAACCTCACACCATATACAAAATTCAATGCCATGTAGGTTACAGATCTAAATGTAGAAGATGAAACAATGAAGCTCCAGAAAATAATATAAAAGGATTATTTAAATATGCCCTTAAGATATTTTAAACATATCTTAAGATACCATAAAGAGTGAAAATTTAAGCTCAGAGTAGTATATGATATTTGCAACATATATCACCAAAAAAGGATCATATGAAGAATACAGAAATAGCTCCCACAAATCAACAAGAAAAGATGAATAATACAATAGAAAAATTAACAAGACACTTGAAAAGCCCATTCACAAAATAACCAAGTGGCCAAAAAGATGCTTAACTTATTAATAATCTGGGAAATCAAATTAAAACTACGGTGAGATACAACTACATACCACCAGAATGACCAAAAAGACTGAGAACACCAAATGTTAACAAGGATGGAGTGAAGCATAACCTTCACCCACTACTGGTGGGAGTGGGAACTGGTACAAGCTCTTTGGAAAACTCTCTGACACTATTAAATATGAGCATAGTCACCCAGTACAACTTAGGAACTTATCACCTTAGTTGATATACCCAACAGAAATGTATGCACACTCCCACCAGGGATGTGGACAGAAAAGCTTATAGCTGCACTCTCTGAAACAGCCCCAAACTGAAAACAACCCAAATATTCATCAAGGGTAAAACAGGTAAACTATGGTAACTATTATTGACACAACAGAAGGAAATACAACAAGGAAAATATAGTACAATTTTACCCAACAACAGAACCAGACTGAACAACACCTACCATATTCTTCCATTCATATGACGTTCAAAAAAAAAAAAACTATGGTGTCAGAAATCAGGATAGTGGTTACCTCAGTTGGAGGAAGGGGGAGCCCCATCAGAGGAGCAATCAGAAACGTTGGCCATGTTCTCTTTCTCCTCCTGAGGGGAGGGGTTGGTCATAGAATGTGTTCACTCAGGGTCATGTATCAAGTTGCATGCTTCTGCTCTTTGCAATCTTCCTTACATGGAACCCCAATAAAGCTTTCAAGAAAGTTTCAAATGTTGATTTCCATTTCTTAGGTGAAGTAAAAGGAGGGACTAACACAGAAAATATTATAGAATATCTTTAATAAACTCATTCAGTGATTTGTTCTTACCTGTGTTCAGGTTGCTCTTCCGATGTCCATTACAGAGCAGAAAAGAAAAAGAACCACACAGGATCATAGGTCAGCTGGATTAGGGAGAAGAGAACGCCTTCCTCCTGAGGAAAAACAAATAAAACTGGGACCCTCTGCAGTTTAGCTAAGAGGTAAGTAATGCGTGAGGAGAAAAAAAAAAAAGTTAAAGGCCCAATGTACAAAATAGTGACAACAGTGAAGGGCCTGCTGGAGACTCATATAATTCCAGCCATATTATACAAAGCAGGATTAAAAGGTAACAAATTTAGGCTGGCTACAAGGAAATGCTTTCTTATGAAACGTATAATTAACCTGTAGCCAGTGGTTTAGTAAAATCCAACTCCTCCCTCAAAACAAAAAATTAGCTATTTATAGCAGCCAAACCAGCCTCTGCAGTTACACTGACTAATATTGTATTACAAAGACTCCCCTGCTTCCAGGCAAAAACTGATAGCCAGCTGGGGTCAGGGAGAAAATTTTCCCTTTGGTGTAGTGTTTCACAGTCCTGTTATCTAATATGGAACCACCGGAGAGGCTGCGTAGTACTTGCACCTCCGTTCACGGCACCTGGCTTGGGGACCCAGGAGGCTGCACTGAAACAGGCCATTGTTTCAATCCTGGGTGACAACACCTGTAGGCCTGTATTTAGGCAACACCTTGTGTTTCCAAAAGGTAAACACAATGAATATCATCAAAATTGTTACTAACACTGCTGTTTTTGCATCAACAATCTACAAATAGAGGGGAGATCTCAATATATGTGCGGAATAAACAGAGCAGGGAAACCTACGTTGAGGTAATTCCAAAGACAGCTCCACCATTTAGCAGCCTGGATTTCCATTGTTGCATTTTTCGGTATGAAAAACACAGATATTATTCATCAAAGTGATTGTCCTGTGCACTTGTATACCTTATATAATTTATTTTTTTAGGGCTTTCTACTTCAAAGAAATCACCAGCTAATGACATTTCAGACTTTAGAAATTTTTTCTGATAGCACACTGGAATTCCCTCAGGGACAGGATTGTGAATAAGTGGATTTTTAAAAAGATCATTAACAGATATTACAAACCAATTCAAACTGAGCATTTTCTTTGCAAATTACTTTAACTTTTAAAGCCATTGGAGGAGGAAAAGAAAAAAAAAAAGACAGTGAGTGATTTAATTTACTTAACCTGTCTACAAATTGCAGCTTTGTATTCCATGGGCAATTGCATTTCCAACCACAAAAATATCTGTAATAGAGATATTTTTCTAAATGATCACCCTTGATGAGTGATATTTCAAAAGATGGTAATGTTTATTTTTTTTTATTTAGCAAGTTGCCCTAGAATTGAGAATGTTTACTTTATTGATATGTTTAAAGTAAAAACAGAGCCCTGCACTGTCTATACCTATTGCTTAATTAAACTCTCAAGTAATTATCAGGTTCATCATTTCCTGACCACACGGACAGACGGTGGAGCTTGGGTGGTAGATTGTGGCCAGGGTGGGGGAGGCTCTTTTATTTAATAATCAAACCATAGTTGCTGGGCTGAAGAGCTAATACTCGGGGTAAGAAGCACCTTTACTCCCCCTCGTACATCAGGCCTGATTCGTATTTGCATCCACACCCCGTTGTGCATGTTTTCCATTCAAAGAACACCCGTGGACTTCAAAGGGAGTCGCCTGCAAGGATGGGCTGCGTGGGAGTCCTGAGAGGCTCCAGAACAGGCCCAGAGCCGGGAGAAACCATGCCAAGACTAGCTCACACTAGAGCCCCCAAACCATGTCACAAAATTAAACGGTCTCCCCTGCCTATGCCATCCCACAGCGCATGTGGGAAATGTCCCCAGGCTTGCCAAGCACTGCGCTGGCTTCTCAGGCTACTACTTATAAATATTTGATGAGCGGTGCTCCATTTATAAAAAAGTATGTTAATAAGAATATTCTTTGAAATTGGAGTCCAATGCAGACTTTTAAAAGGCTCATTGTTTGAGGTACTACAGGTTTCCTTTTTTTCCCCCTTTAAAGTGCAAAGTCAACTTACCACAAACCAAACAAAGGAATCTAATATCCTTTTGGATGTCCCATCAACAAAAAATGGGTAGGATTCTACTTGAAAGGTTGTTCTATTTTTGGAAGGACTTATTAAATTATTGAGGTTAAAGGAACATAGACACTAATGTTTCTGGAGTGTCTCTTTTGTGCCAGATATTTTGATTCTCCTCTTTTAATCCTCACCAATATATCATGAGGCAGACTGTATTACCCCCATTTTAAAGATGGAGAAATGGGCCTCACAGAGATCATGCAAATTGTCTATTCCAAGGCCCCACAACAGTAAGTGCAGAGCTGGTCTAGAGCCCAGATCTGCCAGCCCCAAAGCCCGCGTTTGTTTCTCAACCTCACACTAATGCCCAGGTGCCAATTTCAAGTGTCATGTTTACATCTGGTGGTAGCTGCCATTTTTCTGAAGAGGTAGAACTCAAAGATTACGGGTTTCCTTGCATTCGAGCTCAGACAGGGAATACTGTATTCCACATGCTGATGGAAAAAGAATTTGTTTTGCCCCAGAGAGTTCCTAGTTGGATCCTGCCAGGAAACACAGGATCCAAGGCAGCTGGCAGTCCACACTAGCGAGTCTGAATGTCACATATGTGAGTCTCAAAATGCTGATGTCCCTCTCTGAACCTCAGGGAACAAAAGTGATTCTAGTGATCACACTAGACTCCCTTGGACACAAGTCTAAGAGGGAGCAGGACAGGCAAGGACTCCAGGATGACAGAGGACACAGATGCTAACCTATAGAGAAGCAGCACATCCAAAATCATCATGCCCCATAGTATTAAGTGTTGGGATGGGAGGAGAAAGTTGCATCTTCCATTTATCTCCTTGTGCCCCTCCCTAACCTCAAGATTTGAGAGCCCTGATGAGGTAGGTGTAGGATGTGGCTATTGAGTGGTCATAGAGTGAGATCAGGGGACCTAGTCCTTGTCTACCTGGTGAGCAGACACCAATCAGGAGCCCCGGCTATACTGCAGTAGTAACAGGGGCTGACCACGACCACCCATGAGCGCCTTCCTGTTTCCACAGGCTCCTAGAGCAAGAGCCCCTGAAGCCACCAGAAGGAGCCCAGGCAACTCTGTGGGGCCACCATTTTCCCTGAGCTCACAGAAAGTTCACAGGAAGAGAGGTACTGTTCCTGGGACTGCTCACAGGGACACCAAGTCCTTTGTTCCTTCTCCGAGGCTGCTTCCTCATCTGCACCATAAAGATACTTGTACTGCCCACTCAGCCTAGCATGCTGGGTGATGATAAAGATGACACAGGACCTCATCTGTAAAAGTGCTCATACAACCCAGGCTGCGGGGACCATGTCTCTTTCCTATAATTCCAAGCACGTTTCTCAACATCAGACTTTTTGCTGTATTCTCATCACTGTGGCTTGGTCTTTGAGCGAAAATAAATCTAAATGGGAGTGATGTTTCAGGTGATAGCAGTCAAAACCAAAGTTTAAAAATAAAATAAGATGTTTTCTGAGCACAGAACAACAATTTTTATATATTTTGCACTCATTCAACAAATCCTTACATACACTGAGTTGAGGCTTAGGCTCTACATTGTTATGCTGGATTTCTAAGCACAATTTACTTGGCCTTTGCACTTAGGATAAAATCAAACTCCTAAACATGAACAGGTCTGAGGCCAGGTAGGACCTGATGCCTCTCAAACTTCATGCTGACCATGCTCGCTGCCCTCCAGACACACTTTGAAGAAGCTGAGCTGAAGTCCCACCCTGGGGGTCTTCCTTGGCCCCTCCCCACAAAGGCTATTCACCTGCTGGCCCCATCTCTTCCTTCCTGATTCGGCTCAAACATCCTCTCCTCAGAAAGACCTTCCATCACCTGCACACCCAACATGGCCCAGCCCTGATCTCCCTGCCCCTTTCGGTTTCCTTCAGGGCAGTCATTACCATGTGTGACACTCGGGCTGTGTGGTCCCTCAGATGCCAGTCATCTCCCCCAACTCAACTGCAACATCCAGAAAGTCAGAGATCCGCTCCGTCTTCTTGCCTCGCTTTGTCCCCAGGCCCCAGTACAGTGCCTGGCACATGAAGGACACAGGAAACAGTGATGCCGTAAAGCAGCTTTACCTGGTGTAAAATAACATAAAACCCCAATCAGGTACTTGGTGGCATTGGCTACAGTGGCAGCCCCTGGACTGCAGGAGAAAAGTTCTCATTTTTCCTCCTCCACAAAGCTCAAGTTCTTTCCGCTACAATTAATCCATGCCTCCTCCCTGCAAGACAGCGATGCACACCTGATCTGGAAGGAAGGCCTGTGTTTACTCCCAGCCTGGCAAACGTCTTACCTGTTGGCTAGGGTCCTGCCTGCCAAGGAGGCACAGCTTCCCTCTGTCATCTAAGTGTGAGATGGCAGTGAGCTCGGTGCCCTGCCGGGCCCAGGTGTGACTCTCAGGTGCTTCCTGGGGCTCCTCTGTCTGAGTGAGCAAGGGCTCCAGTGACCGCCCAGGACTTCAGCTCCTGTTGCCGAATGAATTCCCCGCCGTGCTGCAGAGTGGAGAGTGGCAGGCCACACTCACCCCATGAACTCCTTTTTAGTCTTCAAATTTGTTTATTTATTGGATCATTTGCAAATTAAAGAATATATATTCGTTGTAACCAGTGAAACAACACTTAAAAATGTGAATAAAAGCAAAGACAATGCTTTCTCCCTGTCTCACATTACCACGCCTAGATTCATGTTACTTCTATAATTATGTAGCGTAATATGTATACAATGTGTAGAATATATTCATATATAATTATATTACATATAATTATATATTCATATATAATTATATTACATATAATTTTACATAAGTGGAGTCATTTACAGTCTGGGCGAATTTTAGGGCAGCATTTTATCTTTAATGACCACCTGTCTATGTAGTTTGCTTGCCTTTCCCAGGTGTGGTTACTCCAGACACTTAGTGGAGAGTGCAGGTGTGCTCTGGCCAGAGGACCACACCTGTGTGCAGTGGCACGCATTTCCCTTTCTGTCCTTAAACGCACCTGCCTTGGTCACACTGGAATTCAGATGAGTCTTCAGACAGGCAGCCCTATTGGTGTTTTCTCTTCTCAGTTGCTGGTTGAGGACATTTGAGGAGATACCTGGACCACCTCTCACCCAACCCCCAACCCCACACCACAGACCACCCCGGGCACCATCTCTAGTTTCCCGTCACTCCTTGGCCCTCCAGCCTCCTTCTGTTTCTAATTGGCTCACATTTCGAGCCAACAGCCCCTGTATTATTTCTGACCTTGTCTATTTCCAGTGACCTTCTCAAAATAACAAATCTCTAGGCCAAAGCCTCTTTCCCTTTCTCCACAGGTGTCTCTCTCCCCATCCCTCCTCTTCAAAGCTTACCCAAGCCTCGCTCTGTACCCATTTACTCAGCCCATTTGTCTTCAAGTGACTATTCCTACTGACCCTCACCCCTACCACGTCGCAAATTTGATCAACATATTTGTGTGTTGCTTTGTAGGTTAAAAACATATACAAATAGGGCCAGCTGAGTGGCGCATTGGTTAAGAGTTGGCTTGGGACACCAGCTCTGAGCAGCGGGGTCCTGGTTCGGATCCCACATTAGGGCCAGTGACTCTGCACCCTCTACAACTAAGATGGTGAACAACAGCTCGACATGGAGCTGGGCTGCAGAGATTCACAGGTGACTGCATAGGCTGCAGTGGAGCTACAGTGGGCTGCCATAAGCTACTGTGAGTAGTTGGCAGCCAGCATGAGCTGCTGTGAGCCACTGTGAGCGGCCTTCCAATGGCCAGCAACTGACTGCCTCTCCCGGGAAGAGCGCAATGATAATACCAACATGGGCCAGTGAAGCAATGTCCTCCACAACTAGACAGAAGAACAAAAGGACAGCAACTTCTCTGTTCCCCTCCCCCAATTCTCCAATAAAATCTTAAAATATATATATATATATATATATACATAGATACACAAATAGATTACTTCAGCTAATTCTTACAATAGCCCTAGGAAATAGAGAGGAGCAAGCACACTGGCCCCCCAAATATGTGGATCTTAAAAGACATTAGCGGCAATTTGCAAAGAAGACATTAAAATGACCACATAAAAAAAGACCCAGTTTCACTATTAATAAAAGAAATACAAAGCATAAAAGCATCAGTATACTTTCGGCTGATGAATTAGCAAATATTTAGAAGAATGATAATACTGACTGTTCAGCAAAGGAGGAGAGTGGCAGTACACTCGCTTATTCCAGGTTGGAGTACATATCGGTGGCACCTCCCTGACTGATAACTTGCCAACACATAGTGAGTTAGGAAACCATGGAGCTGTGCAATCCCTCTTATAAAAATTTATCCCAAGGAGATAAACAAAGTGAGGTAGAAAGTTTAAGCAACAAGGATATTTTAATATGTGACTGATTCAGTTGAAGTCATACAATAAAATGCCCTGAAAAAATTTAAAATAATGTGAAAGAATGTATAATATGCAAATTATTATATGTATATTAAATGTATAATATGCAAAAATAAAAATAATGCAAAACTTTCTGCTGTAGGTAAAAAAAAAGTTACACAATAATATGTATTATCTAAGTTCCATATAATAATAGATATACATATAGATATAAATATCACGCACCCCAAAATGTCAAGAAAGGTTATCTCCAAGTGATGGCATTATGGATGATTTTATTTTCTTAATATCTACTCATCACTATTTTTTAAATTATTTTCAATCACCATGTGTAATTTTGTAAAGAGAAAGACAAAAAAATGATAACATTAAAAAAGTTGCCCTGGGCCGGCCGAGTGGCGCGGTGGTTAAGAGCTGGCTTGGGACGCCACAGGACCCCAGTTCGGATCCCACATATGAGGGCCAGTAACACTGCCCTCTGCAGCTAAGATGCTGAACAACAGCTCAACTTGGAGCTGGGCTGCTTTGAGTCTCTGGCGACAGCGTAGGCTGCAGCCCCTGTGGCAGTGGGCTGCCATGGGCTACCATGTGTAGCCAGCAGCCAGCGTGAGCAGCCATCCAGAAGCCGGTGACTGATCTGCCTCGCCCGGGAAGAGCGCAATGATGGTGCCAACTTGGGCCAGTGAAGCAACGTCCTCCACAACCAGACTGAAAAACAAAAAATAAATAAACAGCAACTTGTCTACCTGTCTGTTCCGTTTCCCCGATTCCCCAAAGCTGTCCCCCTCTCCTCAATTCCCCAATAAAAAAAAAATCTTTAAGAAAAAAAAAAAGTTGCCCTGTCTCAATGGAACAAGTTCTACATTTGATTCTTCCATCCATTCATTCATTCTTTCAACAGATAGCTATTGAAATCCTACTACATACAATGCATTCTGCTAAGTGATAAGAATATAGTGATTAAACTTTTTTAAACATTAAAAAAAAAAGGAGTGTCCTCTGCTCTGGAGAAGGGATTTTTGGTAAGTGGGAGAAAGCCAGTGGGGGTTGCTGGTTTTAACAGTGAGTGCCACCAAGCACAGCTGGAGCTCATTAGGCATCACTCTTCCCTAAACCCAGGAAATGGCCTCAGAGGATATCAATGTATCCGGTCACTCTTGGGTGAGATTTACCCTCGGAACTGAACCTGGATCTGAAAACAGTGGTTCCTGAGAGTGGACAATGGAGAGAAAGCAGAGTGAGATTTACCCGTGCTCTTAAATCTCCTGGTTACTGAGTCTCCTGCCTGCTTGAGACAAATAGCTCGAGTGTCCTCGGCTGTGAGAGATATGGTCCCATGGGCTGCATGACTGCAGATATTCATTGTAAAGCCCAAAACGGCCCATCTTTTAAATAAACGATCAGTGAAAATTCAACAAAATTACCCTAAAGAGTCGCTCACTCGGAATCTGCCTCTTGAATAAGCATCCAGCCTCCTACAGTTCCTGGATGATATTCCCCTTTCACTTGCACAACTGGAACCTCCCACACACACATCAAAGCTGGCTTTCCCAGCACAGAAGCCACCTCCAGGAAGTGTGGCACACACGCAGTCTGCAAGAAGTCTTTGCAGCCTCTAGGGTACCATTTTGTTCCCCCACAGGAGCACTGTCATATTCTAAGTTAACTCAAGGCATCTGCTTTGAGTTGATTTTTTCCCACAATTTTTTTCCCACAATTTCTGTTGATTCTTCCCCAGAAGGTCACTTGTGACCAGTGTTCACTTGGAGGCCTGGCTGGGTTTTGGAAGGGGACCATGGTCAAGTGAACCAGCCCTCCTGGGGACTGAACTCATGACCTCATTAGCACAGGGTTCCAATCAACTAAGCCACCAGGCACGTACCTCATTTAAGGCACTGAAGCAATAATTTGCTAAATGTTAATTCTTAGATTAACTACAGATGAGTAGAGTTCCTAGGGGGAAGAAATGAGAGAGATTTGTTAATTCTTGAAAGGAAATTCGGGTCATCAGTAGATGATCCCTTTGGTTACATTTAAGACATAATTCCAGCATCTGAAGATGAAGTTCATCAGGGTCTACACCGCCATGAATTTTTTTTATCAATATCCTGAGCAGGGGACTTGCATGGAAAGAGCAAATGCTGTCATTTCTGCACTTGCAAAACACTGCACCATGGTTTTTGTATCGGTTGCTCCACAGTTTCTATTTCACAATCAGACACAAAATGTAGGTGGCAACATGAAGGAAAGGTTTCCATATCTGAGGCAGAGATGGCTCTCTTAGAGTGGGAAGGGCTGTACCCCATTACTTCTCCCTGCCCCCAAGACCCTAACTCCTGTGGAGAGAGACCCTCCCTCCCTGGGGAAGAACCCCCCACCCCGCCCAGCCCCGCAGCCCTGGCTCAAGGCATGCTATAACCCACCCCATTCCACCCTCTTACCTTATCCCAAGCCCATGCCGGAGGAGCCAGTTTTACAAATAGCAAATATGGTTTGGAACAGTTTTGACACTGACTCAGTATCCTGTGCTTGGATTACATTTCTATGAATATTCCACCGACTTTTCAACTCTGCAGAACAGTTTCCGCTCTGAGGCTACATTTAGCATTCAGGCCATTTCAACTTCAGTTGCTCCCACCCTGACAGCAATCTTTGAAACTGATATGGCCCCGAAAGGACCCAGAATAACTTATTTTTAAATATTAGTAATGGGCTAGGTTCCCAGTCTTTGTAATCTTGTGGAAGAACCTCTGTGAGAGAACACACTGGGAATTGAATTAAGTGCATGCCCACGCTAGCTTTTCCATGGAAAAGCCTGCTTGAAATGCCTCGTTGTTTTGCAGGAGAATTTTTATGAAGTAGAAGAGGATGGAAATAGAGCCTTGCATTTTGCACTTACCACCTTCTGCCCCAGGAGCTTGACAATCATCTTTAAATACCCAGACCTCTGCCTGCGTAAGAGAAACCCAACAATGTCTGGTGGAGCAAACCAACCTGGCACCTCAGGAGCACCCCAGTTCTGCCACTTGCCAGCGAGGGGCCTGTGGAAAAGTTAGGCACCTCCTTTGAATTGTCAATTTCCTCACCTGTAAAATGTAAAGCAGCAACTGTCTCCACATCAAACGAAATAATGGACAGAAAATTCTTT